TGGGATGGCTTTTAAAATACTATGCCTGTGTTAAGCCTGCAGCCTTGTAAAAGGAAAGGGCTTAATTGGCTCTTTTCTCATTTTTCTAGGGACCATCTCTAATTACAATACAGGATTCCTGCAATAGCCCGGTCTGGCAGAAACACTGCAAGCGTCTCATAAGTGTGAGAAATAAGCGATCAATACATGTCCCTAACAGAGAAGAAACACTGGCAACTGACCTCGAAACTGATATGCCCTTTAATGGCTTCCTTCTCAAGTTTTCCTACAGTTTTTACAACTTCTGGAAAGCACTACTGACTCTTTCACTCTAAAGGGCTTCTCTAAAGACTTTAAATTTCGAAATTTGATACAAATATGATTAATTAGTAATTGGACCTTGTGTTATACAATTCAGGGAGAAATCATGCTTGTAACTTCAAATCGGCTTCGAGCTCATCTTAGTTTGAAATTACTTACGCAATTACTCCCTAAATTGTACTCCAGTTGGTCTCATTACTATTAATTATTACTATTATTACTATTATTATTATTACTATTATTATTGTTGTTGTTATTATTATTATTATATTTGAGGAATTGTATTGGTAAGGCATATTGCATGCCAACCTAGTGTCACACTACATGTTTGAATTGTGTAACCCTTCTTGAGTAAAAAACAATTTTGTAATAATTTTTAAAAAGGAAACAACATTTCTCATTTTACAAATGTTTCGACATTCCTATGTAATCTCCAGTTGCAAATGTTCAACTGTTGTATGTTTGAATTTTCACTGTACACATGATTACGTTAATTTTGCAATAACTTCATTACTGATCTCGAGCTCAAGGTTCTATCTGATCAAAACTAATGAAAAAACTTTCATGCACTTTCTTGTGCCTGCAGCAATACTGTGAAATATAACAGAAACTAGCTTTGTACTACCTTGTGACACTTATGACAGCTTATGACAGTGATTAGTCAGACAGAAAAGGCAATAATAAAGTTAGCAAATGCAAGTTGAAGAAATATTTATTTGGGAATAGGCGAAAGAATTTGTCACGCTCGATTGCACCAATTTCGCTACTAGAGGACCATTAGTCCTCTAGTAGCTCATGTTGACAAGTTTGAACCCAAAGTATGGGATCTTCCAGCAATTGATACTGTTTATGTTCAGAATCAGTTTTCATAGAAATCCAAGTCTTGTATGTTCATCTAGTAGCATACTTATTCAAGTCCTTCATGTACATATGTACAAGTCTACAGATATCTTGTTTCACTCTTGGGTGTCTTAGTAGATTTTCCTAATATATAAGCTATCATAAAAGTCGTCAGATCCATAAGTTCTTAAGATTTGACAGAAAATCTGATGATATTTTTGTTAAATCTCCAATTTTATATTACAAGGGAAAAATTTATATACCATTTTGGCCTGATTTGGGCCTTTATTTTGCCAACTTCAATTCTAAGTGCTTAGCCAAAGTACAGGATAGTACAGAAAAAATCATGAAATTTTGTGCGTTCAGGGTCCGTGTAGAGTTCCCAAAGCATGTCCTTGATGCACTTTCTTCTGTCATGCACAATTAAAGAGACCTTGTAACTTCTACAACTCATTTATATTCTTCTTGGGGTCCTCATTTGAGACCCTATAAAGAATGATAACAGCTGTATGTGACTGTATGGTTTGTAAATTTCAGATGGAGAAACTGGTGGATCAGAGGAATGTTTNTGTGCCTTCAGGGTCCGTGTAGAGTTCCCAAAGCATGTCCTTGATGCACTTTCTTCTGTCATGCACAATTAAAGAGACCTTGTAACTTCTACAACTCATTTATATTCTTCTTGGGGTCCTTATTTGAGACCCTATAAAGAATGATAACAGCTGTACGTGACTGTATGGTTTGTAAATTTCAGATGGAGAAACTGGTGGATCAGAGGAATGTTTTCATTAGTGATGATTGCAGGTTTTGCTGTTATTGTCTACTTTGGTCCACTGGCTTTAATCCTCTTGGTGAGTTCATGACAAGCCGTAAAACCCTTATTCCATTTGACCAGCATTCAAAGAGTGAATGCTGGAAAGTTGTCATTGAAAAACCAAGGATATGGGGCTTCTGGTTTAAATGTGTATGCCTACATGTAGTTAGCAAACACATGGCTCAGTGGAGTTGCTGGACAGGTGTTTTACTTCTGGTCACTTTTATTGTTTTTAAAACAAATCAAAATCAATCTTGGAACAGAACTTCAGAGAATAACTCATTTTGTCAAGGTTACACAGTAAGGAATGAAGAATTGAGAAACGAGATTCGAATGGGCAAACAGGCGCTGTACCATTTCTTCCTTTTGTATTCAGTTTTTTCTGTACTTGATACATGTAAGAGGCATGTTAAAGAAAATTCATATCAGAGTATTAGACTGTTGTTTTTTGTTCTCTTGCATTATAGATCCAGTGTATTCAAATCAAGTGTTACCATGAAATTATTTCCATCGGACACAAGAAGTATCAAAAATACAACCTGCCCTGGTTTAGGTCATTAAGTTGGTAGGGACACTTTCATGTAATTAATATATAATTACATGATTACATGTAGTAGTTATTGTTAACTTTTGTAAGTTGTTTTT